ATATGGATATGTCTCAGAGGTAATGTATGTGCAATACATGAGGATTTGCGATTTCGTCTCCCTTCATGTACACTTAGGAAAACTGTAGTGCCAGGAGGTCAGATTTGGCGTCATCTTCATAGTGCATTATTCCTGGCTCATTAGTAACAATGCAGGGATTCCACATCCCGCCTTGGAAGATTTATTAAGGTATGAAAATGTTATCTTTGGCCTAGAGAGAGATCGTTCGGCCAGGCTATGCTCGTGCAGTTGTCTCTTTTCACTTTTCTGCAGGGAGCAGAAGTTCCTGCTGGCTTTGTATCTAGAGTAGTCCGAGTCTAAGCGGGAAAGCTTAAAGCTCTCCCATAGTTTTCTTCGTTGTTTCATGTTGGCCCTGAGTTCTCGGTCGATCCAGGGGTCCCTTAAAAAGAGGCCTGTTACTGTGGAATGGGACAGCCTCCTCGATGAGGCGCTTCAATTTGCGGAATAAATCGTTCCAAGCAGCATCGAGATAAAAGTGTTGTGGAACATTTCAGTCCAATGTACCTGCTGCCACCCTTAGTTTGAGTGCGTCGGTTCGCCAGAAGTTGCGACGGTGTGCCCTCCGGGTTCGGATAGCTAGACGTTTAGTCCATAGGAAGGAGATTGTACAATGGTCGCTTGTGCCTATGGGTGGTAGAAGGGTCAATTCTGAGACCTCTGCCAGGGACGGAGTGAGCACAAAATCAAGAGTGTGCGGAGTCTGGCCGGGAAGAAGCCTAGTGGGCGATGTCATATGCTGGGTGAGATTCGTTTTGAGGACAGTTTCAAGGAGGCTGGTGTCAAATGACTCGGGTGGAAGGTGGCAGTGTAGTAGGTCCCAATCGACCTGCGGGGCATTGAAGTCACTCACAATAAGACAATCTCTGTGGTTTCCATGCGAGTTGCTAAAGTCTAGTACAGAAGTACCATGTCCCCACGGGGCTTTGTAGATGACGCCAACCATAAGGGATTTGAAGCTGTCGTTGATCCTACACCAGAGTAGCTCTGCAACACCAACAGCGCCGCTGACGGATTCTACGAGATGAACTTTAAGATCCTCTCTCCAGTAGAGAACTACGCCACCACCAACTCTTGCTCCAGATCGGTCAGTACGGAAAAGTTGGTATCCTGAGATGTGGATCTCAGAGTCGGCGATGTCTGAAGTGAGCCAGGTCTCAGTGAAGGCCAACAGGTCAGGAAGTAGCTTTGCGGTAAGAGCGTGCACCTCATCAAATTTGATTTTGAGACCACGGACGTTTGCAACCAACACCTATAGTCCATTCTTTCTCCTTGTTTTTAAGTCCCGGGGAAGACGAACAGTGGTTTCCAGCGCGACCTTATAGTTAAGTGTCCGGGGGTGAGGAGAATGGGCCTCCAACGGGTTTTCGGAGTCCTTCGAACTACGCGAAAATTCACAATATGTAGGTCTGTTTTACCACTTCCCCGTCTTGTACGTAGTCCTTCTACGGCCTTTTTCATTTTGACTCGATCTTCCGGTGAGAGGTCACGAAGTACGTAGAATGGCTCACCTTTGAGACGCGAGGTCCTTCGCAGGATGCGTCGGCATTCCTCTTGGGAAGGGCTAATTTTTGTCATCGCTGGAAAGGGTTTTGCTACTGTTGTCCTCGATAACAGCCAAGTTTGTTTGAGTGGCTGGAGAGTACAATCTTAATTTTGGTGGAAATAAGGTGTGAGGAAATAGAACATAATGCTATATGGATTTGCTTCGTGAAAACGGTAAATTCGAATAAGTCGAAAATTTTTGGTTGGCTATTCAGTGTTGCTATATCGCTTCTATTAACCCTATCATACCGTTTGTGATATTTAATTATATCACACCGTCATCTTATAACCGTACATCGGGTTTTCTTTGGACTTTTGTCCAAGTCATCTTTTGTAGTGTTGTGGTATATTGCTCCATTTTCTGGATCATGGTGCCTAAACGTCTCGCAGCTATGAGGCGTAACAGACAAGGAGTGAAACCGGCTACAATCCCCACTGTTAAAGACAACTCGGCTTTAGCGGACGTGGTCGGTGTCCAAGCCGTAGACCAAATTGACACCATCGTGGTGGCCAATAGTTCCAGCTCAGGGATTGGTAATATAGAGCTTTTAAATCATACATCAATACCTGACATAGTCGCCATCATTCCTTCTCAGGAATGTAAGGTCATGCTTAATGACCCTCTTACTGAAGCGTTGCTAAAAATACACGCACTTGAAAATCAAGTGAATTCGCTAACAAGCGACATACTGAACATCAATGAGACGTTGATGAAGGTGATGCCCCTAGTACACCTACCGGGCGTACAAAAGCCGCAAAACTCATCAGATCTAAACCAAGCTGGTATGCTTCTGAACGTAGTTGCTCAAGAGGCCAAAGAGCATTTGCGCCGCGCCAGTAATGCCATACTATTAAATGTCCCTGACCGGTTTCCACTTGAAAATTTGCTACGTAAGCTTCTAACCGTATGCAAATTGCCGCTAGATTGCTGCACAGCTAAACGATTAAGAAAGATTCCCGGCCGTACTTGTCTTATCATGTTTAGATTTGTACGTCCTGAGTTTGCCACACGCTTCATGGCCTCCAGCTTTCTTATCAAATAACAGGTTAATTTCGGGCCTCTACAGATCAGAGAAGATATGACCCACTACAAAGATCGATGGCACGTACCTCTACATCAACATCCAACATAAAGACCAGACCCAAAACTAAAGATGCATCGTTTGTCACATGCTTTACACCACTGTGTACTGTTGATTTAGATGCATCCCAACAACGACAGGATGTCTCATCTAAAGTGACTACACCCAAATCGGGATCGGAACGAGATACTGCAACTATTGCAGAAAGCGAAACTTTCAGAGCGCTATCGAACTGTGACTCTGATATGTGCGATACTGACACTGAACCAGCCATTCTGTCTATCGCTTCGCCCATTACTCCTATCATCAGGAGTGAACGCTACAATGCAGAAGGATCTTGCGGAAATCCGCCTATACCCTTGAATGCACGCCAAAGGTGTCTGCTGCCCACACCTACAACGAACCGAGCAAAGATCCGCAGGACCCACGTAACCCAATTTCACAAAAATATTAACAATAAGGAACCTGAGCACCGGATGGTACACGCCAACGCTTGGACTCAAGCGAGGCAGTCAGTAACCGAAAAACCATCTTCCCCAAGATATCAGTCATCGATGGGGTCTGCGAACATGGCTAGGCTACAACAGCCACGAGTAAACCGTTACCTACTTGAAGCTCCCAAGTTAGGAGCCCGCGCCCCGACTTACCAACAATGGTCCAACGCACCAGGCTTGATACCATCTATTCCTGGCCATGGTTCTTACGGTACTCCCCATCGTACAAGAAGTACCAAAGCTGCAGGCGCCACTATAAACAACAAATTCCCAAAATCTGGACAGCCGCACTTTGTGAATCTACATGACGTAACCGCACGCAACACGGCCCCCTATACCACCGTCCCATTTTTATGGGACACTACGGGGTATGGTCCACCGCATCCAACTCACCAAGAGCTAGCACCTGCCCTACTTTATCTCCAAAATCTTCTATGTTCATTACAGCCCCCTTCAAACCACTGGTTTCAGCCATTCGGGTAGATCCAGCAATCCCAAAGTTTTCTCTTGGCATTTCGATGGCAAATATTCAGCAGTATCAAACTTTGCCATCCCCTGATCTCACATATGCGCAGCGTTCACCTAATAAACGCAAATCTATCTTCCCCAACTCCTCGCTGCCCCCTCCTCTCCCACGAAAATGGAAATTGCCCACGTTAGCTCGCAGTCAACGCTCTCACATAGCGATCCGCTTTCGCCTTCAAAGTACCTTGATGATCCTGTCTTCCCCCATTGCGATTTTCCATCCAGCCACACTCGGTCCATCCTAGGGACCACATTAGCCCCTCCATCTCCGTCTTATTACCACGAACCCAACCATGCAATGGAACTGACAATAATCTACTGCATGACCTACATGCCGACGAAAATAGTAATGCTCGTACTACAACAACCTCATTACGTGGCAGTATAAATTTTCTACGCAAATGAATGAGCCGTTAGACCCCTTACCCTACCGAAGCTTTATTTCGCAGTCGTCTAACAACTCCCTAGCGGACGACCTGTGGGCTCACAATAACCTATATGGTCAGAAACCTCAGTGCAGCTCCTCAGATCGCTGTGAGGTACTAACTGCCACAGGTGTATTACCTGCACGTGAAACATCTGCTTTACTCTATACTGACTCCTCCGTTATGACACGCAGGGATACTACACTGGACCCCGACCTCACTCCCTCTAAGTTCAAGTTCAAGTTCAAGTTCAATTTGGACAGGAACGGTAGAAGAATTCCCGTGTGTGTTCCTTCTTCAATGCGTCGTTGAGCCAGGATGGAGTTCGTGGGAGAGGTTTGGAGCCAAGAGGAGCCAAATCAATACACACGAATCACATACCGGTCAACCAATCAATGTGTAGCGACCTGGAGATTCCCCGTATGACTGTGTAAACTATTCTAAAATACATTCAAATTATAGCTTTCTTATGTATTAGGGAACTAGGCGGTTTGCCTGTTGGAACGTTGTTCCCGTTTGTTGAAAACACGAACGCCATCTCCGCCTTTGGCGCGCGCGACTCGATTGCGAACGACGCTCCGTCTACGCTCTCGACGCCAACGACATTCTCCCTAGCTAGCTCTCTCCGGGTGCCCTATTTTTAGCATTAGCTAACGCTCCTCCCGTCCAATAAACTTTTCCCTAGCTTACTGTTGTGTCTTCTATCCATTATTATTGGTTGGCCGTCTAGTCGCGTACCGGATATATAGCGCACGATCAACGCGCTATAACTGGTGACCCCGAAAAGGAATTTTTTTCGTGAGTTCGGTACTAATATTTCTTTTCAGATCCGATAACTTCTTCTGTCTACCTTTCTACTTTTTCTCTTTACTACTTGCGTTCACATTCATACACTCCGTAATTATTTCATCATGAAGGTCATTCACCCAGATTCTGACGATCAGGTTAGCGGGTTCCGTTTCCCTATCCCACCTTTCCGAGAGACTAACCCTAAGGCCTGGTTTAACCAGCTAGAAGCTATTTTGTTATTACATGGTGTTAAGTCTGACAGTGTAAAATTTCACTGCGTTGTTGCAGCACTTCCTCCGCAAGTCGTCGATCAACTCGACGACATCTTGGAGCTTCCCGAATGTCAGAAAAGTTACGAGGAGCTTAAGGCCGTCGTCTTAAAGCGATTCGGCATATCAGACCATGCTCGCGTTGCGCAACTTCTTAACGAAACCGAGCTAAGTGATCAAAAACCTTCTCATTTGCTGCACAAGATGCAGGCTCTATCTAAGCCTCTCTCTGTTGGTGACTCATTCCTTAAAGAGATGTGGCTTCGTCGCCTTCCACGTGACATTCGTAACCCTCTGTATGCAAACGATGCGCCTGTTTCTCAGCTCGCTGACATTGCCGATCGTATTTGGGAATCCAACGCCCAAATATCTCAGATTCAGTCTACCTCCAGTACAGAGGTAGCAGAACTAAGAGTGCAAGTAGCCGCACTTGCCAACCGACTAGAGAAGCTAACACAGTCCGGATCCAACCGTCGAAATCGTTCCAGTAGTCGCAGTCCGCCTAGATCACGTTCGAAATCTCCCCCTAAGTCAAGCTATTGCTGGTACCACGAGCGATTTGGTCATCAGGCCAGATCGTGTCGCCCGCCTTGTTCCTTCAAGCGCAACACACAGGGAAACGGGTAGGCCAGCACGTAGGGGCGACGGACGTTGCTGGCTACCCCAGTCGCCTTTTCTTTGTCACTGATCACAGTACGGGAGTACGCTATCTCGTTGACACCGGCGCAGAAGTCAGCGTTATTCCCCGTGATTCTAATGATGTTATCGAAGAGGCGACTAGTTCATTGCGCGCAGCAAACGGCACCACCATTCGCGTGTATGGTCAACGCTCGCGCACGCTTAATTTAAACCTACGACGTTCATTTAAATGGATCTTCCTAGTCGCAGATGTCCAGACGCCAATTCTTGGCCTTGACTTTCTGCAGCACTTCGATTTGCTTGTTGACGCGAAGCAACGCCGCCTGATCGACCGTCAAACAAACCTGGCAGTTATAGGTACTTTGACCGACATAGAGTCAATCAGTCCTGTATACGCCAACCAGTCAAGCTCACCTATCGGTCAGATGCTTATTACCAAATTTCCGCAAGTCTTTCGTGCAATCGCACCCTTTCCATCTGCCACGGATGCTGCAAAACATCATATCGTTACCAAAGGTCCGCCTGTTTTCGCCAAAGCCAGGAGAATGACCCCTGACAAGCTAAAAATCGCTCGCGCAGAATTCGAGCATATGCTTGAACTAGGCATCGTTCGACCATCTAAAAGTCCCTGGGCGTCGCCGCTCCACATGGTGCCCAAAAAGTCAGGAGACTGGCGTCCATGTGGTGATTACCGCGCGCTCAATAGCGTTACTGTTCCCGACCGATATCCGATTCCTCACATTCAGGACATCACGGCAAGCCTGCGTGGCACCCGTGTGTTCTCGAAAATCGATCTGGTTCGCGCGTATCACCAGATTCCAGTCGCTGAGGAAGACATACCGAAGACTGCCGTAATCACACCGTTTGGGCTGTTCGAATTTTTGCGTATGCCGTTCGGTCTTCGCAACGCAGCCCAGACTTTTCAACGACTCATCGATTCAGTCACTAGAGGTCTAAATTTCGTCTATGCATACATCGACGATATCCTAGTTGCAAGCGCTTCTAAAGAACAGCACGCAGAACATCTCAAGATACTTTTCGAAAGGCTGGCCGCTAATAGCATCACTGTCAACTCTGACAAATGCGTATTTCAGCAGCCTTCCATCGAATTTCTTGGCCACCATATTGATCAGTATGGTATACGGCCTCTAGACGATAGAGTCCGCGCCATCAGAGACTTTCCGGTTCCGACTACGTTAGCCGCTATTCGCCGTTTTAACGGCATGCTCAACTACTATCGACGTTTTCTTCCACACTGTGCCGATTTGCTAAGTCCACTAACCGACCTACTTCGTGGACGCAAAAACGGTCAGGTGGAACTGACTGCCGCTGCTGCTGAAGCATTTAAAGCCAGCAAAGAGGCCTTAGCTAAAGCCGTTATGCTTCATCATTTCGATCCGAACGCTCCGCTCAGTGTTGCTGTTGACGCATCGGACACCGCCATTGGCGCCGTCCTACAGCAACATACAAATGGAGGCTGGAAACCTCTTGCATTTTACTCTAGACGCCTACAACCCGCCGAAGTCAAGTACAGCACGTTCAGTCGCGAACTGCTGGCCGTTTACTCTACCGTTCGACATTTCCGACACGTCCTCGAAGGTAACACCTTCATTATCTTCACCGATCACAAGCCGCTTACCTACGCATTCCGAAATCAATCAGCTCGACACTCACCACGTGAGATTCGTCAGCTGGATTTCATCGCCCAATTCTCGACTGATATCCGACACCTTTCCGGTCAACAAAACGTCGTCGCTGATGCTCTTTCAAGAGTATCTGCGATCGCCCCTGCCGGGCAGGCAATCGATTTGTCTGCTATGGCTGCCGCACAATCAAACGACCCAAGTTTTTCGGAACTCTGCGATTCTTCTTTGAAGATATCTCCGCACCCTTTGCCGTCATCTGATGGTACCATCTTATGCGACACATCTACCGGACGACCTCGACCTGTCGTTCCAGAAACTTTTCGCCGTATCCTTTTCGACACCCTCCACAAAATCACCCACCCAGGCATTAAAGCTACTGCTAAGCTTGTCTATGAGAGATCCGTTTGGCCGGGGATGCAACGCGATCTTACACGTTGGGCACGCAGGTATTTCGCCTGCCAGCAAGCCAAGGTTCAACGGCACGTGTCCGCTCCGCTTGGTCGCTTTCCGCCCGTTTCAGCGCGATTTGCCCATGTTCATCTCGACATAGTGGGAACACTGGCCCCCTCAAAAGGAATGGTCTACATTTTAACCATGATCGATCGTTGCACCCGTTGGCCCGAAGCCGTTCCCATCCCTGACGTAGCTGCGGAAACCGTAACACGCGCTTTTGTCGAGCGCTGGGTCGCTTCACACGGCTGTCCAGCCACAGTGACTACAGCCCGCGGTCCGCAATTCGAATCTACGACCTTTAACGACATCCTTAAACTCATTGGATGTCGACGCATTCGCACGACCGCCTATCATACGCAAGCGAATGGCATGGTGGAACGTTTCCACCGACAGCTGAAAACCTCACTTGGCGCAGCCAATGCGCTGAGTTGGACTGAGGTGCTGCCTATGGTCCTCCTTGGGATCCGATCAGCCCTAAAGGCCGATCTACGTACGTCTAGCGCTGAGTTAGTATATGGACAACCACTGCGTTTACCTGGCGATTTCTTCTCCGTTAGTCCCAGAATTACTCGTTACGACGCAAATTATGCACGTCAGCCAGCCACGAGCATGCGTCAATACAAGCTTCCAGACTTTAGAGAACAACCATAGGACTTGCAGCATTGTCCGTTCGTTTTTCTCCGCCTCGATGGTCTCCGCAGACCACTGGAGTGACCTTACGTAGGTCCTTTCAAGGTCCTACAGCGTAAGGACCGCGTTTTTATTATCGACCGTCATGGTAAACGAGAGGCCGTTACGATTGACCGTCTCAAGGTTGCCCACATGGAACCTGAGCTCGATGAAGACCCTTGCTCGTCTTCTGAAGAATCAACCCAGCCTATGATGGAAGACTCGACTGCTTCCAAAATCCCTGATCCCAAGTGTCATGCTCCATCCAAGCCTTCCACTTCAGCTCCGCCGTTTCCCATCGAGCCAACCGCCACTTCTTCAGCAGTTCCTCCAATTTTGCGATCCGATAGGACGTCTAAGATGACGCCTTCCTTGGATTCGCATAAGTCGACTAGGTCGGGTAGACGCATTCATTGGCCAGCTCGATTAAGAGATTAGTGTTTCTTTCATTTTCCTTATTGTTTTCATTTTCCCTTTTGGCCGACCACGTACGAAAACCCAAAAAAATCCGCAAAAGCTTTTGAAAACGCTTTAAAAAATCGACAAAACGTTTTGAAAACCCAAAAGAACGCAAAACGTTTTGAAAACCCAAAAAAAGAAAACGTTTTGAAAACACATGAAGAGTTACATTTCGCTTGACGCCTACCTCATCCGGTAAGTGTTACTCTTGTTTTTGCCCTCGCCTTCGTCGTCACTACCCTAGTTTCCGTTTATGTTCCATGTATGAACCGGAGGAGATGACGAGCCTGAAGCGAACATTTGACCTTTACGAACTCGCGAACATTTAACGCATACGAACTTCCCCCATTTTGTGTTTCTGGCACCGTTAGGGAGGACACAGGTAGGTGCCCGTTAGGATCCGATCGCCTGGTTCTCCCCCATCAGCTGCATCAGGTTTCACTACCTGGTCTCGCAGAAGGCTGGCCCGCGACGGACAGTCCTCACGTAGATCGAAGGGTCACCCACGGTTTTCCTTCTAGGAGGGGGGCTGTGTAGCGACCTGGAGATTCCCCCGCATGACTGTATAAACTTTTCTAAAATGCATTCAAATTATAGCTTTCTTATGTATTAGGGAAGTAGGTGGTTTGCCTGTTGGAACGTTGTTCCCGTTTGTTAAAAACACGAACGCCATCTCCGCCTTTGGCGCGCGCGACTCGATTGCGAACGACGCTCTGTCTTAGCTCTCGACGCCAACGACATTCTTCCTAGCTAGCTCTCTCCGGGTGCCCTATTTTTAGCATTAGCTAACGCACCTCCCGTCCAATAAACTTTGCCCTAGCTTACTGTTGTGTCTTCTATTGTAGAATGCAGACAAGGGAGAACCACAAGGATTGAGACGTAAGTTCTATTACGCAACACGTAGGCTAGTCAACTGTTCGCTTCAGGTTTCTGTCCTTCTTCAATAATGGCGCAGGAGTGTCTTTCTGAAATGCAGACAGAAAAGTTGTCGTCAGAGCAACGATTTAAATTCAACCACGCGCCGAACTAGTTTCGATCACTCTTTACACTGCACCCCTTCTATATAGGCAACGTCCCCGTTGCCACACCAAAGCCCCCTTGAGCTGGTACTTCAACTTCGGTGGCTACTTCTATCGGTGGCTCATTGTGATGTTCCTCATCCGAATGCTCAGATTCGATATGGAAAGGTTTAAGCCGATTAAAGTGTACGACCATGGACGGCCCAACGGCGTTCTTTGGGTCCCTAACCACACAAGTCAGATCAGAAATTATTCGGTCTACCACGTAGGGGCCAGCCCACTCACGATGCAGTTTCGCTGGTATTCCGGATACCGGGGCCTGATGCAAATATACGAGGTCGCCTGCTTTCAACGGGACACCGAAGACCTTCTTGTCGTAGTATTCCTTCTGTCGCCGTTGAGCGTTCGCCAAATGGATGCGTGCCGCTTCGTGTGTGCGTCGAACGGAGTCGAGGAGTTTGCTGACATATTCAACAACCGACGGGTATACCTGTTGTGATCTCGGTAATCGGACATCCGAGGGCAACCGAACTTCTCTACCCGTCCACATAAACGACGGCGTTTGTCCGGTAGAAGAGTGGACCGTACTGCGATAGGCCAATAAGCATTTAGGCAATAACGTATCCCACTCGTAAATGTTCTGGTCCACGAACGCCTTCAAGAGTGACTTCAACGACCGATTCGTACGTTCAACTTGTCCGTTCCCTTGTGGATGGTAGGCCGTCGTTCGCGTTTTATCAAT